CTCAAACATTTATGGCCGCAACTTAAACCCCTTAAGGATCACCTAATTTCGCCTGTTTCTTCTCGAATTATGATACCCAAATAGAAATGCTTACTGTGTGGACATCTTGTGTCTGATCTTGTGTTATGAGACCTCATTTGAAAGGTAACACCTTCTAGTTTCTGGAAATGTATGTTACAGTTTGTTAGGAAGGACACAGTCTGCACTACACCTTCTCAAACATGAGTAAAAGTTAGTTTTTTTTGTCTCGAAAAAAAAAAGGCAATTTCAAAAGGTTCTCCTGAAGACATACTTTATGATATGTTGTTCAAACTCACCAGAGCAGATGTCTGTGGTGTTGGCAACAACTGTATGAAATTTTAGACCTTTAGGTGAAACCATTTTGATGCTGGGGGCTTTTTTGTGACTAATGGGCACATTCGGCACAAGCGGTCCATATTTGTGCCAATTGTGCCAAAGTGTTTTACATGCAAATTATCAACATTATTACACCAAAAATCAAATTATATCATTTTTTGGCTATTACTCTTGCTATAAATAGGATTTTTTTCCAGATATTGAAATGTTTACAGAAAAGCTATTATTTACATAGTTATAGCGCGTGTTCTCCGTGAAAATGCTCCGCTTTTACGCATTCAAATAACACTCGAACAGTGGGAGGAACCTTGAAGTCCGACACATCGCCTGAAACCTGAGATTATTGGCTACAAGATGGTTTGATTGACATCCAAATCGGCCAATGGTAGTCAAGACAATGCTGTCATGACGCACAGAAAGGTAAATGCCTGGAGGGCTGAAGTTTGGTGCGCTTGTTTTCGTCAACTTGTTGTACCCCCCAAACCATAGCACTGAGAAGTCCGAGTGAGGGCTTGTTTTGAAGGGAAGACTGAGAGGAAGACGAACATACCCAGTGATTCTGGGTAAAAAAAACAATGGCGTCTTCAGACAGTGCGCAAAGACGCGGTTTTATTTTTGTTCGGGCAACTTTCAAAACTCAAATGTGTCGTTACAAGTGGATATCTACTATAATGATGACTTTGAAGAAAAAACAACTGGATATAAGTATTCTCTAGACCCCCCCGGACAAAATAAATGCACACATGTGTGGATTAGACGTGATTTGGCCCAGAATATTAGCATGAAAAGGTAAGAAAGGACAATATATATTTTTTATATGTATACAGTTTGACTACAAGTACTTACTTTTGTTGATATTTAATGTTTATTTGAACATAATATGCATTTAGAGGTGGGAATAAGCTTTCAAAAGAGGTATAGCTTGACTATATTGACACAAGTTAAGTTATAATACTGATGCAGTTAAATGAAAAATATCTGAATCCTCCCTGTACAGGGAGGGTGATCCTTAAGGGGTTAAAATGATTTGAATCAGGAACCCCAGATATAAGACGATACTTGCTACTGAACTGTATTTTTACATGTATATAATATGATTGTAGTGTGAGGACGGCAGATGGAAAGTAGCATGAAATTGCGCCTCCTGGTAGTCGACTTTGACTGTTAATCGACCGATACAACACTGCCCTCTAGTGGCATCAGCTCGTCAGTTCCGCATCACCATGATAAAGCATTGAGGGAGTTTAGACGCATCAAATTTCAGATACAAACAAATTGTTTGTAATAAAGTACGTGTACGGTCTATACCGTATTATTTTGTAAAAGCATTGGATAGAAATACAAAACTGAAATGATAAACAAAAGCACCCAGGTAACAAGGAAATAGATTAAAACAATCTGGAAAGGGTTCCTGTTGGGGGAGACAGAGGGAGTTCTAGTGGTGTTAAAATTCTGGTCCTAGTGTAAAACTCCTTCAATCGAAGGCGGATGTCTACGGCCCAGATATTTGGTAATTAAGCAGAATGCTCTCTAGAGAGCCTTCTAAGCCTTAAACCTAAAGATGACATATTGAACTTTTCACATTCATGGCTGCTGAAGTAGTTTACTTCTACAGTATCTGAAGAATAAAGTTGCGGAGCATCTTTAATGTCCAAAAAGCTCTGTATGAAACAGATGCATTATTAGTATTAGTATTAAAAACCAGAGACACTTCAGCCATTTTTGATTTATTGATATCAGACACTCCAAACTGCTTTATACGTATAATTCATTCAGCTGTTCAGAGAGACGTGATCTCCACAACGATCCACTGACTTCCACTGAGTCGAGTCCAGAGTCCAGAACTCGAGCCGAAGCATCAAAGCCCCCCACACAGCTTCCACATACACATACATGGAGACCGCTTAGATACAAAATCATGGTTTTGCTTTTGTGGCAGTTATAAAAATCCAGACAAATGAAACATTTCTAAACTTGGAGTAAAAAAGATCAAAGTGATATTGTAAACAAAAACGGGATGAAGCCAAATGCATGTTGTTCTAATGGCGGTCTTATTAGGCTTTAAGAAGACGCAATGGTCTTACTTTATTAAAACCACAATCCACAATCTTCTCACATTTTGTCATATCTAAAAAATGTCCAGGTAATTACTTTTATTCACTGCATGTTTTTTTTAGAGAGACGATAGACGAGCGTTTTAACTGGTTTCTTTGACATCATAGTTTGAGGATTGGTCATAGCTTAACAAGTAATAAAAAGGAGCATTTAGACTGAAAGGGTGGGGAGAGGTGTTTGTGCCAGTGGAGCTCAAAACCCAAGTCTGTTTTGAATGAGGGAATAATGTTTAAGAGCTCAGAAAAAACAGGTCTCCTTTAAAATGACCCAAACTCACATTGTATTCTAAATTCCAATAGTTTTTACGTACTTTACTTGACAAACCTGGATTATTTTACTTCTTTCAACATGTTTCAAACAATTTTCCAGTTAATGCTAGCTTGTTTACAGATGGACAATGCTAACCCGCTAGCTCAATGAAGCCCAACAGTGAAGTGCTCATGGACAAAGTTTGGCTCCTATTGACTTGCATGTAAAATTGAACTCCTATAGCTCAGCAACCATTTGTGTCACGCTCACCATTTTGGGATTAGAGATTCATGGTTTAGTTCTCTCTGTGATCCTGATGTTTATGATGTTGAGATATTGTCTTTGTGAATTCAGATATGAGCTCGACCAATCAATCTCTTCTGTTCACAAATTAGGCTTTAAGCGTAGCATAAACATTCTCGTTCAAAAAGCCTGCTTGAAGTTCGCTCTCATCGGCCTCACACTATGGTGACGTCTGCACAACTTCTACAGTCTATGGTCACGTTTGGAGAAAAAAAACCTGGATTCAAGCTGTCTTAAGCCTGACCAGAAAGTCCATTGTTACGGTCAGAATATCCTTGCCGTGTAATAAATTAAAACAAATAACAGATCTGTGTGATTTTGATGGAAAAAAGTCACATGATTTTCTCTTTTTACAACCCCATGTAGTACAATACCACGTTACAAAGTATGACAAAAGAAAGCCTATAGACAAAGATCTTCCGGTTGGTTATCTATGCAATAATATTGGTCAGCGTCTCCCATCCAGGCACCTGCCGCCTCCCAACACAGCTTAACTCGCACACAGCCACGCACTCATGGTTAGTCACCAGCCAAGAACATATGGTACAAATGTGTTGTAGTGATAAACATGCATCCTTTATACTGATATACACTTCTTAAAAAAAGTTAAGAAATAAAAGAACGTCAACAAAAAACAAAAAATATATAGAGGAAGGGATTAGAAACGCAGCTCTACAGAGTCCTTTTTTTTTTTTTAGCTATTCCCGGGAGTGATGGTGTCCAGAGGAGGTCCCAGGGCAGAGGGCAGAGGGGGGAGAGGCCTGGGGATGAGGATGGGACCTAAGGCTGGGGAAAACAACCGATAATGTACAACGGGCTTTGACGAATGACTGTCCAGATGATGAGCTAAAGTCGACCATTTCAGTTTTGACAAAAAACACGAAATCTGAGTGAGTACGTTTATAAAGCATTGCTGGAAACCAGATCCCTCCCAATTCTGTTCCTTTTCGAGCAAAACACATTTTAATCTAGTTCATTTTGGGGGAACTGTGTACCTGTTATGTAGCCATGTAAACCTAGATCCTATTGAGACAAGGCCAGCAGATGCATTTAAGAGCACAGGGATAAGCCTCCTGCACCACACAGCCACAGTCCAGGAAGCTCCCTATGGACCAATGACTCTAATGTGTTTGTTATTATTGAATTTCCTGTGTTCATGTGTTTTCTGATCCGTTGTAGGTAAGTCCTCTGATTGTGTTGATATTTAAGGTGACAAAACAAAAACATTGAATAAAAATTAAGAGCACTTGGACTAGCTATGCTGGTACAAAAAAATGTATGTATTTGGACACATACAGGAGTCACTCATTTTGATCATTGAGATGCAGCACACAGTCCCTCATTGTTATGTTTGGTTTTGTGACTCGTGCAGCTACAGTTGTGCAAAAATCAAATGCTTAAAATAACAAGATGTGTGATTACGTCGAAATGTGCTTTGAAGAGAGATGTTTCATATACAATTACTGTCCCAAAGTTTAGAGTCCTGAGGCAAAGAAAGGCCTTTAAAAGCGTCGCAAGAGATGGGACCTTTGAGTGACCGGTTTGGAAGTAACTCTGAAAAGACTTAAGAGTACTCTTCAGCTTTGTAAACGCACTCACTGTTATTATTAATGTTTGTGGTATGATCGACTGGAACTAAAAAAGGTCCTTTGTGGGATGGGACTTTTAGGCCCAGTCCACACAAAGTCAAATTCAGGCCTTAATGCAAAAATACTTTATCGATCCAGTGCATTATCCATACAAAGCTGGCTTTTTGGGGAAGAGACCAGAGAGAAAAAGAGACCTTCTGAAACTAGTGGCGTTTTGACTTTGTGTGGAAGTCGCCAAAGAAAGCTCAGAAGTCCATCTTGAGAGTATGGAGAGAGTAGTTCTCACGGTATGCCTTCATACCGATCATGGTCCCATCCCTCCCCAGGCAGTGGGCAGACCTGTGGGGGGTGGTGATGGAGAGGGGGAGGGGGGAGGCGTTAGGCAGGTTAGGTGTTGCAGCAGGGGCGGCTGCTGGGCTGGGCTGTCTCCGTCAGGTCCACTCCCCGGTTGCGCCCACTGTTGGCTCCGGCAGCTTGAGGCTCGTTCTTGGGGAGTTTCTTGGCTGTAGGAGGAAACAGACATGATTAACTACACATTGAATGAGTCTTTCAAACAACAACAATGCACTGGTTAGAGACCACAGAGAAAGCCCTGTCCCCCGGGTTTAAGACCACAGAGAAGGCCCTGTACCCTGGGTTTAAGACCACAGAGAAGGCCCTGTACCCTGGGTTTAAGACCACAGAGAAAGCCCTGTCCCCCGGGTTTAAGACCACAGAGAAGGCCCTGTACCCTGGGTTTAAGACCACAGAGAAGGCCCTGTATCCTGGGTTTAAGACCACAGAGGAGGCCCTGTCCCCCGGGTTTAAGACAGGGCCTTCTCTGTGGTCTTAATCCCCCGGGTTTAAGACCACAGGGAAGGCCCAAACCCTGCTAACCAACCAGCTCTTCAGGAAGCCCTATAGGGAAGTGCTCATGGTAAAGTTTTGCTCTCTCTCGCTCCTACTGACTTACATGTAAAAGCAAACTCCTGGCTCAGTTTCCATTTATGTCAAACTCCATTTAGCACTCTGTGATCCTGGTTTATATTGTGATGTATCCAAATACTGTCTATACGAGACTCTGAAAGACAGAGCAGACTGACTGAGGTCCTTTGATGTCACATGTTGCACATATTTTACCAGTCTGTTGTAGCTAGTGCCGTGTTCTTTGGGGTCGCATGTTCGGATTGCAGACTGACTTTGAGAGACAGTGACCGTCGACAGGCTGATCAGGAAATGTGTCTCTGTGATGGGGAGAAGTGTGGACTCTGGGAGCTGTGCTGGAGAGAAGGATGAGGGCTCTAATGCAGGGCATCCTGGGTAACTCCAGACACCCTCTGCACTATGGCCGCTCAGAAGAGTAATCGTAGCAACGGACTTATATCACTGCCAAACGTAACGTTTTAAGAGATCCTTTGTTCCTTCAGCTGTCAGACTGTACAACAAACCTGGATGAGTCTTCTGCTGCTGGACACCTCAATTTCTCCTACGGGGATCAACAAAGTATCTATCTATTTAAATCCAGATAAGAGGCATCTGATTCTGATTCTGATCTCTAGTTTGGCTTAGCAACACTGCCTCTGTTACAGCAGAAAGCTAATGCCGTTGGAAGGGCAAAAACGGAGGAAATTGTCTCCTACTAGCTTATGTCAGTCCACTAACCCAAACCCAAACATAAACTCTGAGGGCGCAGAACTCACCAATAGCCATGAAGATCTCATTGACGTTCATCGAGGTCTTAGCCGACGTCTCCATGAATAGCAGGCTGTTGTCGTCTGCATACGACTGAGCGTCCTGAGAACAAACCTCACATCAGTGTGTGCCATAATCAGTGTGTGACATCATCAGTATGTGAAATAATTAGTGTGTGACATCACAGACCTGGAAGTCCAGCGTCCGCTTGTTGGCGAGGTCGGCCTTGTTTCCTGCCAGAGCTATTACGATGTTGGGACTGGCCTGCCTCTGCAGCTCTTTCACCCAGTTCTTTGCCCGAACAAACGACTCCTGCCAAACAACACATATAAGCCCCCTTTCCACCGAATAACCCAGGCCAAGCTGGTACTAAAAGGTCCTAGCTGATTGGAGTGCTGCTTGTTCCCCGGATACTGGTTTGATGTGGGTAGGTTGCTAGGATACAATACCAGATACTAAAGTGTAATGGAAACACAACCAGGTGGAGTAGTTTGATTAGGGCTAGTGGAAACAGGCCTTTAGACACCACATAATCAAAAGATTATGATTGAAAGCGTTTGTGAAAGTGTTAAAATTTAAGATTTAAGACTGATATTATGGTAGAATATTACATTATGGTAGAATATTCCTTAACTTACTTAAGTTAAACTTTATTGTCCCCATAAGGAAATGCACCCTAACCCTAACCTAACCCTAACCATTTGACCCATCCTTTACTAGATGGACATTGCCCAGTGGACACCGCCCAGCGGACACCACCCTCGGCTGCCACGGGCCCTCCTGCCCCCACCTGTCCATCTCACCGGACCAGGTGAGGAGTGAGCTAAAGCGATTGAAGCAGAGGCAATCTGCAGGACCAGACGGGATCCGTCCTTGGCTGCTGAAGATCTGTGCTGACCAGCTCTCTGAGGTCCTCAGTCACATCTACAACCTGAGCCTCAGCCTGGAGAAGGTCCTTGTCCTGTGGAAGACCTCCTGTGTGATCCCGGTTCCAAAAACAGCACACGCCAAGGAACTGGCTCACTATGGACCTCCCACCTGATGAAGACCATGGAGCGGCTCATCCTCACCCATCTCCGCTCCGTGGTCAGCCCCACCCTGGACCCGCTGCAGTTCGTTGACAGGCCCAACATCGGAGTAGAGGACGCCGTCATCTACTTACAGCAGCAGACGCTCTCTCACCTGGAGCCAGCTGGGAGCGCTGTGAGGGTCATGTGTTTTGACTTCTCCAGTGCTTTCAATACCATAAGAACGGCACTTCTTTGGGGGAAGATGGAGAACGAGGGAGTGGACAGTAGCCTCACTGCATGGACCATCAACTACCTCTCAGACCGACCACAGTACGTGCGGCTGCAGCTGTGAGTCTGAGGTGGTCGTCTGCAGCACTGGGGCCCCTCAGGGCACTGTCCTCTCACCGTTTCTCTTCCCCATCTACACCTCAGACTTCACACATGACTTCTCCAACGACTCCGCCATCGTGGGCTGTGTGTCTGAGGGGAACGAACTGGAATATCGGTCGGTTATCACGGACTTTGTCGACTGGTGTGACCGCAACCACTTGTGCTTGAACACCAGTAAGACCAAGGAGATGATCATCGACTTCAGGAGAAAACCACTTTCCCACACGCTGCTGAACATCCAGGGGGAGGACATTGAGCTGGTGGACAGCTTCAAGTACCTGGGTGTTCACATTAACAATAAACTGGACTGGTCCCACAACACTAACACCCTGTACAAGAAGGGCCAAAGTTGCCTCCACCTTCCGAGGAGGCTGTGGTCCTTCGGAGTGAGCAGGCCTCTGCTCAGGACTTTTTATGACTCTGTGGTAGCGTCTGCCATACACTACGCTGCAGTAAGCGGGACCTCAACAAGCTGGTCAGGAGGGCCAGCGCCGCTCTGGGCTGCTCCTTGGACTCTGTGGAGGAGGTGAGGAGCAGGAGGGTGCCAGTCAAAGTCACCTCCATCATGGACAACACCTCCCACTGCACAGGACTGTAGAGGAGCTACAGTGGCCTTTATCCCCACCGCTGTCAGACTGTACAATAAGTCACTTGCACTAGGACTAAAAACCTGCACTACTAGTGCTACTGTTTCTTTAATTAAAAGGTAAAGGTGCACTTTATTAATCCCCGTAGGGCAATCCAATCCTCTGTATTTGACCATTCCTGATGCCGCAAAGGCTTACGTCAAGAGCAGTGGTCGCGGCTGTAGTACAGCGCCCGGGAACCCATCTCCAGATATTGATGCTCGGCTTAGTCAGGACTACCGGAGCTGGAGGATTTAACCTAGCGAGCATGTTTTTAGTGGTAGGGGAAACCGGAGTACCCGGAGGAAACCTACGCAGGCACGGGGAGAACACGCAAACTCCACTCAGAAAGACCCTGTTCCGACCGGGATTCAAACCCGAGACCTTCTTGCTGAGAGGCAAGAGTGCTATCCACTCAGCCACCGTGCCGTCCTAATCAATTGCCTTTTTTTATTGTACATAACATTTCCTGCACAGACTATATTTTTTTGCCTTCAACATGTTTGGACACTTGTGTCTTTTGCACAAATCTTGAGTGATTCTATCGATGCCAAATGTACATTTCTCCTGGCTATAGAGATTTATTGAGAAATAAAGTCTATATTATCTTCGTCACTTTAGCTGGGAAGAACATAGCTACAACAAGCTAGCTTAGTACAACAGTTGATTTGACATGCATTTGCTCAAATTCATTGGCTCCTCTACACATAGGGACTGAGCTCCTCACCGCAATTGTTTAAGGGGTGTTCAGACCGCGGACCCACCAACGCAGTTCATACGTCTTGGACACATGTTCACTTAATTTTAGCCGCATGTCTGAATATTGCCCTGCGAAGCCCCAAAACGCATGGCGGAAGTGGTGGGCGGGTTTTGAGGCCAGTGAGTTTAAGCTAGCGGCTTTTTGTGTAAAGATCTCCTCCAAGAGCGCAGTTCTGCAGCGTCTCTGTGTTTGAGATCTTACACATACACAGACACGTAGTACGGTATTTGTATTTGGTTGAGATCAAGACCAAGATCTTTTTTTATTACTAGACAATGATAGATCATCTCTTTGAGGTGACTGTTCTGTCCTCATCATGTGAATGAAGTCACCTTTGATGGAGACAGAGTTCTGCCCGAGAGCCAGCCTTCTTAGTTTCCTCCCCCACTTCCATTTGTTTTAATTCATCTTCATATGATCAGTTGTGAAGGTGTGACATGTGCCTCTTCCTGTGGTAATCATCCAATGAGTGACCTGCCCACCTGTGATATAAAGCTTTCAGGAAATCTCTTGTTCTCCAGAAGACTTTTGCCGGGTTCACAGGGAGAGGACGAGCAGGAATCTCTCCTATGCAGTTATTTTTACTTTTTCAGATCCCTTTCCTGCTGAGCTTCAGAGGGCGGACGCAATCTGACTTTCACCTGCAGGTGGCGCCGCTACACATAGTTAATGTATTACATTCCTTTGTGAAGTAACTGAAAAGTGGAACTATTACTATTAGTAGTTACAATAATAATACTAGTTATTTACATATTGTATGTTGCAAAAACTGGGATGATATAAGGTTTGAGTAAGTTTCCAACCTAAATAAACTTTATCAATCAATATGAATACAACTTTTGTCCCTGAATCATTTCATAGAACACTGCCATAACACAAAATCCTAATCATTACAGACAGTAAAGCCAATGGTCGTGCCTCTTACCTCATTTGTGATGTCGTACACCACAATAGCGGCCTGGGCCCCCCTGTAGTACATGGGGGCCAGACTGTGGTAGCGTTCCTGTCCAGCCGTGTCCCAGATCTCAAACTTCACTGTGGTGTCGTCCAAACAGACCGTCTGCGTGAGGAAGGCCGCTGCACCAAACAGACTCACAATCAGTTTTCACAGACTCAGGTTATGTTGCCAGGCCTGAGCGATAAGGCCAAACAATGAAATATAGGAAAAGGAATAAGCCCCAAGACCATTGAAGTAGCAATGGGCCACATTTTCAAACTGAACAACTTCAATAAAATAATAGAAATAATGAGAAAGTCCTAACCCCCCATGTTTAGGACCACAGAGAAGCCCCTGCACCACAGGTTTAAGACTACAGAGAAGGCCCTGAGAGAGACCAAAGGGAGACAAGAGAGGAACACCAAAGAGAGGCATCAGAAAGAGACCAGAGAGAGGGGACAGAAAGAGACCAGAGAGGGGACAGAGAGAGACCAGAGAGGGGACAGAGAGAGGACAGAGAGAGGGGACCGAGAGGGCACAGAGAGAGGACAGAGAGAGACCAGAGAGGGGACAGAGAGAGGACAGAGAGAGGGGACAGAGAGGGCACAGAGAGAGAACAGAGAGGGGACAGAGAGAGACCAGAGAGGGGACAGAGAGGGGACAGAGAGAGAACAGAGAGGGGACAGAGAGAGGACAGAGAGAGGGGACAGAGAGGGGACAGAGAGAGAACAGAGAGGGGACAGAGAGAGACCAGAGAGGGGACAGAGAGAGGACAGAGAGAGACCAGAGAGGGGACAGAGAGAGGACAGAGAGAGGGGACAGAGAGGGGACAGAGAGAGAACAGAGAGGGGACAGAGAGAGGACAGAGAGAGGGGACAGAGAGGGGACAGAGAGAGAACAGAGAGGGGACAGAGAGAGACCAGAGAGGGGACAGAGAGAGGACAGAGAGAGACCAGAGAGGGGACAGAGAGAGGACAGAGAGAGACCAGAGAGGGGACAGAGAGAGGACAGAGAGAGGGGGACCGAGAGGGCACAGAGAGAGAACATAGAGGGGACAGAGAGAGGACAGAGAGGGGACAGAGAGAGGACAGAGAGAGGGGACAGAGAGAGAACAGAGAGGGGACAGAGAGAGGACAGAGAGAGGGGACAGAGAGGGGACAGAGAGAGAACAGAGAGGGGACAGAGAGAGACCAGAGAGGGGACAGAGAGAGGACAGAGAGAGACCAGAGAGGGGACAGAGAGAGGACAGAGAGAGGGGACAGAGAGAGAACAGAGAGGGGACAGAGAGAGAACAGAGAGGGGACAGAGAGAGACCAGAGAGGGGACAGAGAGAGGACAGAGAGAGACCAGAGAGGGGACAGAGAGAGGACAGAGAGAGACCAGAGAGGGGACAGAGAGAGGACAGAGAGAGGGGACCGAGAGGGCACAGAGAGAGAACATAGAGGGGACAGAGAGAGGACAGAGAGGGGACAGAGAGAGGACAGAGAGAGGGGACAGAGAGAGAACAGAGAGGGGACAGAGAGAGAACAGAGAGGGGACAGAGAGAGACCAGAGAGGGGACAGAGAGAGGACAGAGAGAGACCAGAGAGGGGACAGAGAGAGGACAGAGAGAGACCAGAGAGGGGACAGAGAGAGGACAGAGAGAGACCAGAGAGGGGACAGAGAGAGGACAGAGAGAGAGGTGAAAGTGTGGACTTACCTCCAATTGTGCTTTCTTGGAATTCATGGAACTGTCCTTTGACAAAGCGAAGGACCAGGCTGGACTTCCCCACAGCAGATTCCCCCAACAGCACCAGCTTGAACTGGCAGATTTTGTTTCCCGCATTGGGCCCGTTGGGTCGCGTGGCTCCACCTCTACTCGCCATGGCGTAGTGTGGTCCCCTCCTGTAGGCGTGCGGTTATGGCTGCGGTGACAAAAACCTGCAGACAGAAAGATTCAGATGAGCAGAATAGGCCTTAAAAATAAAAATAAAAAACACAGGAAATATTCATGAATATTCAAAAGGGATCTGAAGTGTTTGTACAAACAGATGAACAATAACAATACAAGCTAAAGAGAGGAACCAGAGAGAGACAACAGAGCAAGAAACCAGAGAGAGACCAGAGAGAGACAACAGAGCAAGAAACCAGAGAGAGACCAGAGATATTGACCAGAGAGAACAAAGACAAGCTCAAAATCATGCAATGAAGTCCATATCACAAGCAAGCCCCAGTGACCTCAGTAGTCTAAGACCAAAGCATCAGGACAGCAAGCTGCAAAGGTTGAGATCAGCGGCGCATACTGGAGGCATTATGATAGCAATCAAAGACATGGTCTGTTTATCATAATATGATGAAGATAATCACTATTATTAATTCTAATCATTTAGGCCTACAAATGCTGTTTGTACATAAGGAAACAGTAGCATGTCACTCACTGTAAAACTCCTATCTAGTTTAACCAGTTCAAGATAAGCTACTGTATATTAGTGACAATCAAACCACTCACTTGTTTTCCCCAAAAGACTAAACAAAAATAAATAATTGTAAAAAAAATATTATTATTATTATATAATTAATAATAATAAAACATAAAATAAACAAAAGTCAAACACAGCCATTAAATGATCAGAGAGAAACCAGCTGAACCTGTAGCTAGGACCTCAAGCACCTGTAACAGTTTTGTGCCACAGGTGATTCTTGTATTAGTCTCTCTCACATGTTTGTCTGTATTTGCCCTATGAGCCATAACTCAACTCAGGTATGTGTGTAAACTCCACAGAACCTGCTGAAAAGTGACCTAGGTGTTTGAGACAACACACTTTACACAGAGACTACATTAAAATGAAGGCAAAAAACAAGCTCTAATTCTGGACTGGAGCAAGACCAGGGCAAGACCAGACCAAGACCAGGACAAGACCAGGACAAGACCAGGGCAAGACCAGGGCAAGACCAGACCAAGACCAGGACAAGACCAGGACAAGACCAGGACAAGACCAGGACAAGACCAGGGCAAGACCAGGGCAAGACCAGGACAAGACCAGGACAAGACCAGGGCAAGACCAGGGCAAGACCAGGACAAGACCAGGACAAGACCAGGACAAGACCAGGGCAAGACCAGGGCAAGACCAGGACAAGACCAGGACAAGACCAGGACAAGACCAGGGCAAGACCAGGGCAAGACCAGGGCAAGACCAGGGCAAGACCAGGGCAAGACCAGGGCAAGACCAGGGCAAGACCAGGACAAGACCAGGACAAGACCAGGACAAGACCAGGGCAAGACCAGGGCAAGACCAGGACAAGACCAGGACAAGACCAGGGCAAGACCAGGACAAGACCAGGACAAGACCAGGACAAGACCAGGACAAGACCAGGACAAGACCAGGACAAGACCAGGACAAGACCAGGACAAGACCAGGACAAGACCAGGACAAGACCAGGACAAGACCAGGACAAGACCAGGACAAGACCAGGACAAGACCAGGACAAGACCAGGACAAGACCAGGACAAGACCAGGACAAGACCAGGACAAGACCAGGACAAGACCAGGACAAGACCAGGACAAGACCAGGACAAGACCAGGACAAGACCAGGACAAGACCAGGGCAAGACCAGGACAAGACCAGGGCAAGACCAGGGCAAGACCAGGACAAGACCAGGACAAGACCAGGGCAAGACCAGGGCAAGACCAGGGCAAGACCAGGACAAGACCAGGACAAGACCAGGACAAGACCAGGGCAAGACCAGGGCAAGACCAGGACAAGACCAGGGCAAGACCAGGGCAAGACCAGGGCAAGACCAGGACAAGACCAGGACAAGACCAGGGCAAGACCAGGGCAAGACCAGGACAAGACCAGGACAAGACCAGGGCAAGACCAGGGCAAGACCAGGGCAAGACCAGGACCAGACCAGGACAAGACCAGGGCAAGACCAGGGCAAGACCAGGGCAAGACCAGGGCAAGACCAGGACAAGACCAGGACAAGACCAGGACAAGACCAGGGCAAGACCAGGGCAAGACCAGACCAAGACCAGACCAAGACCAGGACAAGACCAGGACAAGACCAGGACAAGACCAGGACAAGACCAGGACAAGACCAGGGCAAGACCAGGGCAAGACCAGGACAAGACCAGGACAAGACCAGGGCAAGACCAGGACAAGACCAGGACAAGACCAGGGCAAGACCAGGGCAAGACCAGGACAAGACCAGGACAAGACCAGGACAAGACCAGGACAAGACCAGGACAAGACCAGGGCAAGACCAGGGCAAGACCAGGGCAAGACCAGGGCAAGACCAGGGCAAGACCAGGACAAGACCAGGACAAGACCAGGGCAAGACCAGGGCAAGACCAGGGCAAGACCAGGACAAGACCAGGACAAGACCAGGACAAGACCAGGGCAAGACCAGACCAAGACCAGACCAGGTCCATATCAAGACTAGACTCAAACAGTTCTGATAAACACAAAAGGATTATTTGTGAGTGGCTTTTCGTACCTGTCAACAGTCAGATCTGGTCTTAAACAGGATTGTAGTTGGAGTCAAACAGGACAAGTGTGAACCCGCCCTGTACAGCAGTATTTACATGTCAACAACTGGAGACAGTGGACATCTTCTCACACTGCAGTCGCCATAATAACAGGAGCACACAAACATGTAGTTGACCCACATGATTGTCATTACGACACTGTTGTTGTTGTTGACTCAACTTAGCTCTGGCTCCTAATATCATTAGCATTAGCTTGGAGCTGTTGACAGTGTATGAAATAGAGTAGTTGCCTCTCATATTCAGCACATTCACTGATCTCTGACCACACAGATCTGACCCTCGGCCTCTGGCTCATCTTCACTGCGGGGACACTGATCAGATTTGGGTGTGTACAGCGAACGCCAGCGGCTGATACACTGTTTACATGTTCGCATTAAGCTATTCGAATAAAACAGTAGTGATCAGAATTTAAAATGACAAAAGCACTTATTAAGTTATTACACGTGTTATACATGTAACCATAGCTATCTGGGTTCGATGTAATGAGTGGTGCTAGCTGGTATGTAGCAGGGCGGGCTAAATCCCACAGAAAACAGCAGAGGAACGCTATTGCTAATGCTAATGCTAATGCTAATGCTAATGCTAATGCTAATGCTAATGCTAATGCTAATGCTAATGCTAATGCTAATGCTAATGCTACGAGCTAACGTCGGGCAGCAGAGCCTTCGGGAGGAGCCCCTTTAAACGCGCTTTAACACCCAGACAGTGACCCACCTTCTCCGGCAGAGGAACGGCCAGCGGAGAGCGGGCAGCTGCGGGCAGTGTCCGGTCACAGGGCTCAGGGGCTGGGTACAGGTTACTGGATCATTGGAGCTCTCATCTGCTCATCTGGTGCGAGTCCACCGCGGTGTCGCTCTGGCTGCACTTCCCCTTCACAACAGAGGGCTGAGGGCTCCACAGCACCCAGCACCCAACACCCAGCACCCAACATCACCCAGCACCCACCATCACCCAGCACCCAACACCCAGCACCCAACATCACCCAGCACCCAACACCCAGCACCCAACATCACCCAGCACCCAACACCCAGCACCCAACATCACCCAGCACCCAACATCACCCAGCACCCAACATCACCCAGCACCCAACATCACCCAGCACCCAACACCCAGCACCCAACATCACCCAGCACCCAACATCACCCAGCACCCAACATCACCCAGCACCCAACATCACCCAGCACCCAACATCACCCACCAACACCCAACATCACCCAACATCACCCAACATCACCCAACATCACCCACATCACCCAACATCACCCACATCACCCAGCACCCAACATCACCCACATCACCCAACATCACCCACCAACACCCAACATCACCCACATCACCCAGCACCCAACATCACCCAGCACCCAACATCACCCACAGCACCCAACATCACCCAACATCACCCACATCACCCAACATCACCCACCAACACCCAACATCACCCAGCATCACCCAGCACCCAACATCACCCACATCACCCAACATCACCCACCAACACCCAACATCACCCACAGCACCCAACATCACCCAACATCACCCACATCACCCACATCACCCAACATCACCCACATCACCCACATCACCCACATCACCCACATCACCCACATCACCCAACATCACCCACATCACCCACATCACCCAACATCACCCACATCACCCAACATCACCCAACATCACCCAACATCACCCACATCACCCAACATCACCCACCAACACCCAACATCACCCACAGCACCCAACATCACCCACAGCACCCAACATCACCCAACAACACCCAACATCACCCAACAACACCCAACATCACCCACATCACCCAGCACCCAACATCACCCAACATCACCCAACATCACCCACATCACCCAACATCACCCACATCACCCAGCACCCAACATCACCCACATCACCCACATCACCCAACATCACCCAACATCACCCACATCACCCAACATCACCCACATCACCCAGCACCCAACATCACCCAACAACACCCAACATCACCCAGCACCCAACATCACCCAGCACCCCACATCACCCAACATCACCCAGCACCCAACATCACCCAGCACCCCACATCACCCAACATCACCCAGCACCCAACATCACCCAGCACCCCACATCACCCAACATCACCCACAGCACCCAACATCACCCAGCACCCAACATCACCTGCAAACTTTCCACATGCAGATATCACAGTTACAGTTGTTATATTATATTATTTATCAAAAATAATGCATTGTATTTTAAATAGCACTTATTTGGACACTCACAGACTCTTTACATGTCCTTAGTCACAGAGGCGATGAACAACTACAGCTGCCCTGGGGCACACTGACAGAAGCGAGGTAACCAGAATTTACCACCACCCAGCATTCACGCCCACATCCGATTCACTCTAGGCAAGTGGGTGAAGTGTCTTGCCTAAGAACACAACAACAGTTTAGTTCCCAGAGGTCTCCCATCACAGTACTAACCAGGCCCTGTCGATGTTAGCTTCAAAGGTCTGATGGGATCTGGCTTTCACCTGCAGGTGGCGCCACAATATAGCTATAACTTTCACATTATTTACATACAATAAATGTTACGATTATTATGATTATAATGAATACATTATTTTCATAGTCATCACATAGACGATAATAACTTTATTTTGATAATTATCATGTATACAAATACAATACTAGATAGTACTGAGGGTTGTGCTGTTGCTAGGTTACAGGAACTAAACAATCATGGGTAGCAGGTGTAGAGCCCATAGAGCCAGAGATCTCTAACAGGCTTTCATTAGTTCCTCGGCTTTAGTAAAGGAGCTGTACACAGGTTCATCTTCCTCTCGTCATGAATACTGCAGTGGTGAGTTCAGTCCAGTCCCATTTCAACAGCTCTGACAGTAGGTAGATAGAAGTAACATAATCTTTACCTTGTTACCACTAACTGAAGTTTCATGAGAACAGGCTGGAAAACTACTGCCTGCAGGAGACACAACAAAGGAGTGCTTTCAGGAGACCCCCAAGGTTTGTCTATGCCAGTGTTTCTCAGCCAGTGATTAGTGTGCCTTTGGAAATGATCCAATAGCATCTCATTGGTCAAATTAATGCAAAAAGATGAGAAAGACTAGAAAGTTAGTGGTTGTGCCATGTTTCATGAAATATTTCCCTGGTTGCTCTCTCTCTGGTCCCTCTCCCAGGTCTCTCTCTCTCTCTCTGTTCTCTCCCTAGTCTTTCTCCCTGGTCTCTCCCTGTCTGGTTTCGCTATGGTCGCTCTCGATGGTCTCTCTCTGGTCTCTCTCTCGCTGCTCTCTATCGCTCTGGTCTCCCTCTAGTCTCACTCTCTGCTCTTTCTCTGGTCTCTCGATGGTCTCTCTCTGGTCTCTCTCTCTCTGCTCTCTATCGCTCTGGTCTCCCTCTAGTCTCACTCGCTGCTCTTTCTCTGGTCTCTCGATGGTCTCTCTCTGGCCTCTCTCTCTCTGCTCTCTATCGCTCTGGTCTCCCTCTAGTCTCACTCTCTGCTCTTTCTCTGGTCTCTCGATGGTCTCTCTCTGGCCTCTCTCTCTCTGCTCTCTATCGCTCTGGTCTCCCTCTAGTCTCACTCTCTGCTCTTTCTCTGGTCTCTCGATGGTCTCTCTCTGGCCTCTCTCTCTCTGCTCTCTATCGCTCTGGTCTCCCTCTAGTCTCGCTCTCTGCTCTTTCTCTGGTCTCTCGATGGTCTCTCTCTGGCCTCTCTCTCTCTGCTCTCTATCGCTCTGGTCTCCCTCTAGTCTCGCTCTCTGCTCTTTCTCTGGTCTCTCTCCTGAGTCTCTCTCTCTCTCTCTCCTGTTTGGTGAGCCTGAGAAATGAAAACAATGAGAGTAGATTCAAGACATTTTTGTGCTTGTTTGATCTTTTATATGAAACAGTTAGACAGTTTGAGAAAGACTTTGCAGTTTCACTAAATACTGTAGTTGTATAGCCTTTAGTATGTTGTACAGCAGGTGGTCATGAGATTGTTTTCAATGAAATGAAAAGCTCTTACATAATCTTCTCCAGAAACTCAAAGTATATGTTTGTGCTAGTCTAATTTGTGATTATGCATGACTGACTCAATGGGAGTATCAGTAATCAACAGGATCAATGTTTTAATGGATTAGGGTTAATAATAATAAAAACAACAACATGTACCCTCCCACCATCAATCATTCACACAAACACAAGCCTTATTTATCAATTTGTTTATTGATCATTGATCACATTCTTCATAACTTCATTACCAGTGGCTCAACTAGAGTAGGCTTAGAGTCAGCAGTTAGAGGTTGGAGGTTGGAGGTAGGATTAAAAATAGGGAAAAGTTTGGGTTATGACAGTGTAACAGTGCTTCTGGACTTGTATCTCCCCTCATAGCCGCAGACCCCTCCTCAGGTGAGGAAGTTTGTCCGCAGTAACCAGCCGGAGCCCGGGACCATCAGAGTGCATCATGGGAAAGCTGGAGACCCAGATATGGCCAGTGGTTTGGTGCATGGGGTCAGCACCAAACCCTCTCTCTCCGTAAGTCACTCAGTCACTCAGCATTGATGTGTCACTGAGAGATATTATTGACTCTGAAAAACAGCAATAAAAGCAAGTTTGTGTAAGCTCTCAGTCGTTCAGGGATAAGTCAAAACAAAGAGAGGTTCTTCACCCATCATATACTTCAGATAGCAGATTTTCCCAACGTTTCGTTCTTCATCCAAAGAACTTTCAGCGGAATAGAAGCTCAGCCGCGAGTTAGACATTTATAACCTGTGGGTGTGGTTATCCACCCCCTGATCCTGGGGCTAACTCATTAACACATCTAAGGTGTGCTACGAAATGGTAAGGAGCAGATCTAACGACCCTGCTAGGGCTAACAATCCTAACTCAATAGCATTTCACTGATAGGTCAGTGTGGGGTGGATAACCACCATGGAGGAACCACTCAGAAACACAGTGGGAACAAATAAGAAAGGACCTAGGCTGTAGCTGAAGAAATTGCATTTTCCAGACCAAGTCATTGGTCTGAACTGCTATATGAGCCCAACTTCAGTTGGGCTCGAACCCTACTCTACTCTACTCCACTATACTCTACCCTACCCTGCACTATCCTACCCTAAAACATTTTTTCTTACCTTTTTGTTAAGGGTTAATTGCCAAGTCCAATCAATAAAGAACAAAAATAATAAATGATTGTCGTGTTGTCCATTTCTTTTGGAATAAATATTATTTCTTGTATAGATTTCCGAAGTGCTGAATCCTACCCAAAGCTCAGCATTCCAGGAGAAGCTGCAGGAGCTGGGGGAGGCGGTGTACAGGTCCCAGCAGAAGGCACCTTTGGGACGATCCCATGGGCACTGTGGAGGACTGCCAGCCTGGGTGGACCAGCACACTGTGTTTGGAGTCAGGGGCGCTAAAGGTCAGTGAGAGACCTGTGCAAGTCCAGAAGGTCTGATACAGGTCACAACTAGAAATACACTTTAAACTGTTTACTGTATATATGGACAATGCTAACTCGCTCGCTCAATGAAGCCCATTAGAGAAGCTCTACGGATGAGGTGATCCTGTGATCCTGGTGTATATATTGTAAATAAAGGTGTGTCCTTACAATAACATCAGTCTGTTCTGTTCACAAATTAAGATTTAGCTGGAGTAGCGCGAGTGGGGACAGAGTGGCACAGCTGCTGATTGGCTTTTTTGAGTTGGTTCTAAGACAATGGTGACGTCTGCATGACTTCTGCAGTCTATGGTCACTCGGATTCAAGTCATCTTAAGTCTGGCTAGAAAGTCTTTTGTTATTGTGTGTGTATTTTCCAGCTTGCCTTAGCAACCATCTTAGCAACACTTCTGCTTGTGTTAGGGCACCAAACTAGCGCCATCGGATCAAATGCCAATATATAGGGATGTCTGGGGGAAATTCAAGGCTTTAGTGTGCCACGTGTTATCCAGGGCTAACTCGCACTGGGTAACACCTCTCCTGGACAGTTTCCAGGAGACATTTGAAACGGGTGCCAGTCTCAAAAGTACTCATCTGGACCAGGTTCTAGAGGTGTTTGGACAAGAGCGATTGGATCAAAGTCAGGGAACTGGGGAAGTTCACGCCAACAGTCCATACAGTCCATCAATATCCTGTTCTTTGGTTGATTACTGACATGGATGTGTTGGTTGCAGCCAAAACTAAAGCAGGTGTCTGGTTTGAGCAGGGCAGGGAGCGCAGGAGCTGCTGAACCCTCCTAAGTCCAGAATAGATGTGGAGGCCGAGGCCCAGGACAAACACGAGCTCTACGTCAAAAGCCACAACCACTACTTTGTCGGTATGAACTTGTATCTTTGGTTGTTTGTTAAAATTCTTTTCCTTTCAATCCAATATATTTGTGTATCGCCCTAACTCAGCAGTCTTCTTGGAGGACTTTACAAATTGGTGGATTCTGTGGACACTTTCAGCGCCAGTCACTTTGGCTCTTACTTCTTCCTACTTTTTCCTCTATTTATTTAATGTAGATGTGTTTTTTAATTTTTCTTTTCTTTTCTTTAAAGTAGGCAAGACATTCTGCATTTGTGCACAAGTGGTAGTGGAAATCTGAGGCCCCCTCAGTGCAAGAAGGAGCGCTAAGGGATCAGCTCCCACAAGTGAACAGATTGTAGATCCAGGACTGAGGCCATCATCATCAAAAGAAACATTTATTTTGTTATTCAATTCAATTAAATTAAATTCATTCTTGTATAGCCCTAAATTACAACAGTAGTCATCTCAGAGGATGGTTGAAATCACCAACACGGATCAGAGAATCAAACAGTTAAAACACACAAAAATATAGGACACATAGGAATTGGTTCATAGGGGAAGTTGACCAATCAATGTCCATAAATGTCCATAAATGTTGTTGAATGTTTTTGACTTAAACACAACTGAGCTGAATGTAGCTGAATGCTGAACTCTGCTTCTTTCCTTGTGTGATTGTTTCTATCTTGTTTTGTTCGGCACTTTGAGTTGCCTTGGGTATAAATATACAAATACTTGCCTTTCCTTTCTGTTGTACAGTAGCTGTATGAATCCTTGTTTAAACCACAGGTGAACGCATCAACAGGAAGTATGACATGCCTCACTTCAGAGCAGACACCGTGTTTGGACTCCCCACCCCTCACCACGATGACGGACGGAACCTCGCCAAGACCATGAACTGGATCCACGCGGACGACCAGTAACAAACTCTATGAATGCGCTTTTTTTAGCTCTATATAGTGATGTCTATTTTTTTGCATCAATTTTATCTATACATTCATATCCATCCATGCCCTTTCAACACTTCAAAAGCCTTGAAACTCTATACCATTCCAATTAATTGTATTTGTGCACAGCCCTAAATTGCAAAATCAGTTGCCTCAGAGTACTTCACAGAATCAAACAGCAGGAAATTCAATAATAGGCCATATGGAAAATATATTATTTTATATCAAATATATAATAATTTTTTTACAGGACTTGCTTGAACTGTATGAATTACATACAGTATGACTGTCAAACTACATACAATTTCAATAGAAAAATGGTATACTCCAAATTATTCATAGAAAACCATGTTTAAACATCTTCATCAAAAAGAATGCAAGATTTGTTTGAATATTATAGATGATGCTTTGACAATCAAATCCAACACAAAGTTCATAGTAATATTTTTACACTAAATTGTATTTGGAAAAGCATGTAGAAAACATTTAGAAGAATTGTGTAAGGTTTGTTTGCATTTTATGACTAACACTTGAGAGAAAAGAGAAAAGTCTGAATCTAGGCCTATTGTCTTTATAACAGTGGAAACTAAAGTATGTTAAAAAATAAATGTAAGGGGCAACAGTGGTAGAGCATTGGCCTTTGAGCCTGAAGGTCATGGGTTCGAGCCCACCACGAGATCATCTGCACCGACTCCCACTGATGTCGTTGATGTTGTGTCCATGGGCAACACACTTAACCCACATTGCCTGAAGCCCCCGTTGAAAGATCAAGGCTATGCTTTGTACTATGGACTCTCCACCTGCAGGATCAGTGTCCCCCCCCCCCCCGACCCTGATGTAAAATAGTACTTGAAGAACTGCAAATAGTGCAAAAGGTAGAAGTACCAAAAGTAATGTGATGACTCGTCATTATGGAGAACATGCAACATTATATCTTTTTGCAATTATTTTTACATTATTACACACTTATTACACTTTTACAAACTTATTACTATTTTATGGTATGATAAATCAAAAATACACACATTATCTATATATATATATATATATATGACATAAAGATTTTAGTTTGATTACATTTTGTGAACCTGCAAATTATAAAAAGACTGCATACAATTTGTATATTAACATAAAACACTCCTTTTTGTCTTATATGAAAGATGTGCAAAAGGTGCCACTTTCAGGAGATAATCACACAAACATAATACAAAAGTCACAAAAAATGTGATGTGACTTTTTTATACAGTATTTTATATGCGACTTTTCCATGTGGGAGTAGCCATTGCTCCAGGACTTTGGTTGCAGATGCAGGACTGAGGCTGTAGATGCAGGACTGAGGCTGTAGATGCAGGACTGAGGCTGTAGATGCAGGACTGAGGTTGTACTGTAGATCCAGGACTTTGGTTGCAGATGCAGGACTGAGGCTGTAGATGCAGGACTGAGGCTGTAGATGCAGGACTGAGGTTGTACTGTAGATCCAGGACTTTGGTTGCAGATGCAGGACTGAGGCTGTAGATGCAGGACTGAGGCTGTAGATGCAGGACTGAGGCTGTAGATGCAGGACAGAGGCTGTAGATGCAGGACTGAGGCTGTAGATCCAGGACTGAGGTTGCAGAACCAGGACTCGGGCTCTAGACTCATGGAGCAAGGACACGTTCGGCAATGAGCAAGAGATGGCAGTTCATGTTTTTCCCTTGAAATGTATCTATATCTATCTATCGTTTTTTATCAAACAGTCCAGAGCCTGACCAGATGGGGTCTGACTTCTCACTACTCCCGGCTGAAGACAGGTAAATCTAATGATTTATATTTATTGAATACATATAGCCTTTATGTGCACACCGGGGTAGTCTTGCACAGTTTTTCCAATGTGGTTTTACTGCAAATGGCAAATAAATGAATCTGAATGTGAATCTAAATATGATGTCAGAATATGCTGTTTCCAGAAAGAAATCCGTTCAGACCTTCGGGATCCTTCCGCCTTCAGATCAGTACGGTACGGAGCTTTTCTCTCAAACAACATGACAGGATGAATATTATAACTTTGTTCGGTGGGGTCATTACACAAGTTGACAGCCAAAAAATGGTCAGGGGTTTATCAACTGATTTAGACTAATGTTGGTGTTCTGAGTCCGAATATCACGTGCATTTTGCTCTATCAGGTCAACTTTTTGAGCTACAGCCATAGTGTTACGGATTATGTACGTCTACGTTATTAAGATAAGATAAGATGTCTTTATGAATTCTGCTTATCAAATTTGATGGAGTAAATAAAAACTGAATGACTTTGGATACGTTGACTTTTATTTCTTAAGGAAAACGGAAAAAACGTCAAAGGTTTCTCAGCTGATGATCCGCAGAAATTTGTTTTTTACGCAAAATCGATTAAAAAAAATATTTCTGTAGCAAAAAATCCTGACCTGATTGAACAAAACCAAGGTCATTTTCGGACTCAGAGCATCAACATTAGTCTAATTCAGCTGAAAAACCCTGGACTATTTTCAAAAAATATTTTTTTGTTACCCAGTGTTATCTGTTATGTTTGACTGTTGTCAAATTCTGCAGTAGTTTTAAAAGTATATTCTATTACAAGGGATTTTTCTCACACAATATTGCATTACTGTACAACTATATTTACTGTATGTCATGTTTCCATGAATATATTGAACCTGCAGATTAGACATTAGACATGGCAGACGCATGAGGAGGTTCTGATATATTTATAGCATTTGAATATGTTCATTAAGATTTGATGATTAGACTACGGCAGGAATACTGTATGACGTCTGCAGGAGAGAATTTAATAGAGGTGATTTGTATTTGAACTCCTGAGGTCTAAACTCTGGTGCTGGATCCTGACTGAAAACATACTGTACAATAGATCCAGCAGAGTGTATACCTCCTGTAGGCGAGCCAGTCCCCATCACTGTGTGGAGGAGAGGAAAAATGCCAGCAACAATTGTAACGAGTAAATTATAAAGATTGCTTGCTTCTTACTTACTGGCCTGGTGTTCCTAGAGGTCTACATCACAGGTAATCAAATAACAAATGATAGTAAAAGGTATTTCTAAACAACATTTTCAGAAATAATGAGGTGGAAATTGCCAGAGAAATCTTGAACTGAGTTCTTTTGAATTCCACACATTATGTAGCACAGTTCTTGTTCTGGTCTCTAGGGGCAGGAGAGTTGATCCACCGCACTGATCCAGGACAGACCACCCCTCTGCTCAGTCTGGTCCACGCCATCCGCCACCACCTCAAGAAGGTCAACTACCAGTTCTTCCCCACTCTCCTGCGTGCCTTCAGCCATTATGACAAGGCAAGGGTTACACTGTGCACTCACAACAGCCTTTCACTCACGTCTTGACTCTGGGGGATTGAGATTTCATGTCATAGCCTTACATCTCCTTCAAAGGACTTGCTTTCCTTTTCAGGATTCAAAGTAATCTAGCTCCCCACATTACCCTGTCCATTACAGGGCAAAGGCAGGAGTCTGTTCAGTGGGCATAGTCTGTCCACCAGCTCTACTCTACTCTACTCTACTCTACTCTACTCTACTTCATTTTGCTTGTGGATACCGGGAAAAACCTTGTTTCTACTCTACTCTACTTTTCTCTTCTCTACCATACTTAGTTTACTCTACTCTAATAATAATGCATCGGTTTTGTATAGCGCTTTTTTGGACACTCAAAGACGCTTTACATGTCATTATTCATTCACTCCATACACTGTGGTGATAAACTACTACTGTAGCCACAGCTGCCCTGGGGCACACTGTCAGAAACGAGGCAACCAGTCTGTGCCATCGGCCCCTCCCACCACCAACCATTCATACACACACCAGACTCATTCTAGGCAATGGGGGTGAAGTGTCTTGCCTAAGGACAAAACGGCAGTTTGGCACTTTACAGCCGCAGCCGCCCCACTGTGGCACCCGGTGTTTCCAAGGTCAGTTTCTTGCCAAGGACACAACGGCAGCAGACATCAGTGGGAGTCGGTGGAGAAAGTCTTGAGGTGGGCTCGGACCCACGACCTTCTGGCTCAAAGGCCAATGCTCTACCAACTGAGCCACTGTCGCCCTCTACTTTGGTGTATTGCTATTGCACTTTAGGTATAGGGGCAATGCGCTTAGGGATAGGCGCAATAAGCAAGTTAGCTTCTGTCTATTCCACTACAGACCTAATGTGTATACATTTTCTATTTTTATGTAATGGATGTCAAAATGTCTGAATAAATCAAAATCTCAATCTCAAATTATTAATATCTGGTTCTGTATCCTAGCAACCTACCCACGACAAATTAGTAACCGGAATAATTCTGTGGTATCCATGGCTTTCAGCGGCAATCACTGTCAGTTAGAACACTTTAGTTGGTACGGAAAAAGTTCTTGGTGCCCAGTTCAAGAGAGCCAGTGGAGATCTCTCAAACAGGGTAGAGTAAAGTAGGGCCATGTAGAGCTGGTGGAAATGGGCTGTAGTAACTTCTCTCAGGTTTCTTCTGGTTGTGGTGTGATGTTGCAGAAGGGCCGTGGGCTGATCGACCTGCGGGACCTACAGGATGTGTGCCAGGAGTTCCACCTGGACACCAGCCCCACGGTGCTGCAGCAGCTGCTGGACTACTGTGACTGGGACGGAGACGGACACATCAGCTTCTTGGAGTTTAGCAACTTCCTCTGCTGGAAGGACCGCATGCCCATTAGGAAACAGGAGCAGGGCCTTCTTACCGGAGGTTCGGCTCAGACACACCTGCTGTAACCCTGTACTGTGCTGTACTGTGCTGTACTGTGCTGTACTGACCTCACATGTTGTGCGTCTAATGTGCAATAATTATGATGTGCATTATAGAACCACATGTAGCCACTGTCACTTTACTGAGTCACTTTGTCACATGCTGCTAACATGTACGGATGTATAAATACAACTATATATTTCTGCACTAGAATACACAGCATTTTAAACTTGATTCTTTATTTTGCTAAAGTTAGGCCTAGTGATTATTTACATAGTTCAAATAATTGTCGTGGAGATGTATAATTACTGTTGGCTCTAGGATTGTAGTGAATGTCAAATTAAGTATCCATCCATCCATTTTCCATTTAATCCATTTCTGGGTCGGGGGGGTGGCAGTCAGAGCTGCACCCAACTTACATAGCACCAGGCCCTCACTGAGGTTGTGGGATCGAACCCACAACCTTCAGGCTTAAAGACCAATGCTCTACCAACTGAGCTACTGTCGCCCTCATCAAATTAAGAAAAACAATCATAATACTTTTCTTATGCAGACAACTGATAAACAGCTTTTATCACTGCGTTGACAAATGAAAAACTAATTAAAGGTGACAAGCAGAAACATTGATAGTTTTCAACCTGCTTTGGCAGCGTTCGATGAGTGGGAAAACCTCTCCTTGTTAACATAATTGTCAATATTTTACAATCACAACGCTTGCCTTACACCACAGCATAAAAATGGACCTACCTGGTCTCAGATCGTCCCTCATCAGGGGCTGCAGCATTGAACTCGGACTATTATGATATGCTCACTCCACCTTGCAATGTGTGCGAACTACTCTGTTTTTCTTAGTGTTCAGTGCAAAGTCCTCCCACACTTTGACACTTCTCATTAACTCCCCTGTCTTGCTAAGTCCCTTCTCCATCGTCCTTCATTGTGAAAAAGTTTTACAAACACCAGCGATGTAGATTGGTACTGTGTAGCGCAGAGCATGTACGATCTGGGACATAAAACAAAGAATCCGTGCGAAACGTGAGCTTTTCTTAAACAAGGCAACATGCCGCAAATAAACTAATGTATACAAAGCATTGAGGCAGCAGAAATTATTTTAACTATTTTTGCAATCGAATTATTCGACATATTCAATGAGTTGTTTCAGCTCTACAAAGTTCTTTGAAGATTCTTTATTGTGAGGATGCACGAGTAAAAACCAGCAGACTTAGGCCCCGTTTATACGGAGGGTTGTGTTTCAGGGGGGTGAAAACGTAAGTGTCCAGATCCAGCTCAGATACGCTGCTCAGCGGGGGCTCTTTCACCTCCGTGTGTGGGAAAAGGTGTGAATTCTTCTCCCAGCTGCATCCCGCACGTACATTTGGACATGCGCAGTAGCCGAGTACAAACGTAAACAACAATGGCAGCAGGTGCACTAACTAGCTAAGTTTGCTTCAAGCGCTACATGGAGGAGAATTCTACTCCTTTGTTCGTCCAAACGAAACCACACAAAGCTCTAGTTTCAGTTTCTGTTTTCGCAGATGCTGCTAAATGCAGAATGATGTTGGTGCATTCTTTCACGTCTTGCAGAGGAAGTGAATATACCGCTGGGGGGGCTTGGGCTCGCGTGTGTCGTGTTGTAAAGATCCTCTGCCCACTAATGGCCAGGGGCTAGAACTACATTGTTTTTCATCCTTGTATGAACACTGTGAAATTTGCATTAGGAGCCTGGTCGTTTCTGTTAATAGCCTGGAAACGTCTGCGCAGCGCCTCCATATAAACGGGGCCTTAGATTGAGTACAATTGTATTTATTAATAAGCTTTGCCGATTAGACCCCAGGCAGAAATACTGCATGACATATGCAGAAAGGAGTTTAATAGAAATTATGAGCTTGCCACCCCCGGGGTCTAGAACTTGGTGGCGAAGAATCTGAGCTGAAGACATGACATGATACTCCACTGAAATGCGGCCATGAAGTGATGAGGACAGATGTGTTACTGAGCAGCTGAGGCGTGTAGAGGGAGGAGCAGCATGACATCCCTTTAGTCTTCCAATCTAAATTGCGCTTAAGCTTCATTAGTTCGTTTGCTTTAAGTATTGAACAGTTCTATTGATTTAACCTAAAACCTAAATACAGCAATGCAAAGTAGAAATATGTAAAAGTGTGAGGAGAACACTTTGCCTAGCCCGCTACATGCTTCGCACTGGTTTCTTCTGCGTTGACTAACTCCACTTCCTGTTTACCGAGTGTGCTGCTGTTCCAGAGCATGTGAGCGGCTCCCCTCCCTCCAAAGCTCTACTGAGACCTGAGGACCTGGAACCCCCAGAGCCTGGCAGCTCCCTCAGAGTCCCCCGCACACTGGTCCACGGCAGAGGAGACCCAGACGCCTCCACCCCCTCCTCTACTGTGATCGGGGCTGTCACTGACCACGCGGCAGGGAGAGGTCAGAAACATACACTGACACTCGGACGAATGTTGATTTGACGACTTAAAACAAGATTATAAACACCTCAACCCACTGAAGCACTCTTCTCTCAAAAAAAGTTTTAAACAAATATAATGATTTTTCTTTTGAATCAACTAATTGTTGTCATGAACTCACTGTTACTCAGGATTTTTGTCTGAAGTCCATTGTGCTAAACTTTAGCCCTGTTTCCAACAGCCCTCCTCTCCTCTGTTTTACTCAACGCTAATTGGGAGCATTTCCACTGGCCCTGTTTAACTGGTACCAGGTCCTTCTTCAGTCTCTCTTGACTCTGGTTCTATCCAGGCCGAGCTGGTACTAAATGTTCTAACTGACAGTGATTGGAATGCTGCTGGAAGTCATGGATACTTGTTTGTTATGGGTATGTTGCTAGGATACAATACCGGTGGGCTGGTGGAATATGGGGCTACAGATAAATTATGTATAATTGTTGTTCTTAAATCCTAATTTTTTATGTCACTTTTGTTAATATAAACGTTATGAGCATGTTTTTCCCATTTTAAGGATACAGTCTCTTTGGTGTGCGTCCAAATGTACAGGTTGAATATGACAACACAATAATGTATGGTGGTGTTGTGTTGCAGAGGTGCGCTCCGGTGGCCTCCCCAGCGTACGCACTGACCTCCCTGCTCCGCGCCTCAGGAGCGTGGCTGACCGCACAAACTACGGAGACTGTCCTGGTGTGGCCGCCCTGCTGCACCCCCACACACACGCTGCTCTGGGGGTCTACGAGCAGCACTTCCTCTGCCCGCGCTCCAGGAACGAGGTACCACATCCAGACGGGGGGAGGGTCTGCATCCAAAGGGGGTGAGCCACATTCAGAGGTCCACTCTGCATGTGCTTGCTCGCAGGGGAGTGGTCAAATCTAGTGGGGGAGAGACCACTAGTGGTCAATCATTGTCCATCTACATGCAATTTTTGGATGCTTCACTTGGCATCTTTCATTCACATAGTTTAGCGATGGACAAAGCTATCCCACTACCTCAATGGGGAAGTGCTCATGAAAGAAGTTTTGCTCCAACTTGCTCTGGCTCCTATTGACTTACGTGTACAAGTTAATTGGTTTAGCACTCTTTATGATCCTGGTGTTTCTATTATGATATTGCCTTTATAAAACCAGTCATTAGCCCTATATGGATGGACCAATCAGATGCCTTCTTTTGTGGGGGAAACTCCAGCTTGCCTTAGAAACCGCCTTGGCAACACCTCTGATCCTTTTGTGCAGCAAAGCTAATCCCGTCGTCAAAAACGCCCCTATGAGTAAATTCATTAGTGATCGTTTGTATGCTTGTGGAAAAGATCCCTATGAGTGAGGGTGGTCTTCTCTTTTTCACTTTTCTGTCTGATAAACTTGATCTAAATACGGAGACCAAAGATAAAGTACATGCATGTGAAAACTGTTGATGGAAGAAAACTTAGAATCCATATTTAAATTTGTATGGACTCGTGCAGTGACAGTCCGTCTGTTTCATGTCCTGCAGATAGCAGAGATCTTCCGCAGCATCGGCCTGGACCTGTCCCAGCAGCAGTTTGACGAGGCCTGGGAGCTGGCATCCAGGAGGAGCCCCGCTGGAGAGGTCAGCGTGGAGGATTTCAGACAAGTGCTCAGGGAGAGAGGAGCCATGTAGACGCCAGAAGAAAACAACCAACAATACAAAATACTGCTACGAGATGCTGAGATGGAAAAGTGGAAATTACATTTATATCTAGTTTGTAATCACATGTTGAACATATATTTGGGGTACTTTGTGGTATGGGAAATATGGATTTAGTTGATACTAACTCAATACCGTTGTGACGTGCTAGCCTTGCATCAGGGACTTCTCAAAACCAGGGACTTGACGGATTGTGACATGTTATGTCTTCAGTCACCTCTACAGCTCACAAGTAATTGAAGCCTTATGTCCAAAATTCTGGACTGTCACTTTTAAAGGGGGCTATCTTTATTTAAAAAAAAAAAAAAGATAAAACACAATAAAAACATTAATTTCCCACCTCAGCGATGTGTTTTTGTGTTATTGATCATTAATAAATCAGTAAAATAATGTTTCAACGCCTCTGATTGGTCAGAAAATTGAAGCTATTGATTGAATTGAAGCTATGAAGGTTACCGAAAGAAGAGTGTAAACAGCAGTTCCTACGCTCAAGCAAATGTTTTAATACAGGGTGTAGCTGGTGTTAGCCGATTTCTGAATTTGGTCAAGCCATCTCCAGACTTATCGATTCTGCCCACTTGCTGTTGATCTTTCATTTCACATTGTCACATTATAACCGATGCCATGTCATAGGCCATCTAGCCAAAGGCTAATTTGCAGACCTGGTCCCTTACACCTAAAAACAACAAAACAAAACATGAGTAACAAAAGTACAGAACAAAGTTAAGATACAACAGAAAAGTTCACAGTCTAAAATCCATGATATGCTAGTCCCATATGAACCAGCCCGGACTCTGAGGAGCGCAGGGACGGGACTCCTGTTAGTGCCCAGAGTCAGGACAAGACAGGGGGAGGCTGCTTTTCAGATTTATGCAGCTAAAGTCTGGAACAGTCTTCCTGAGGATGTGAGACTGGCTGCCTCTCTGTCAATGTTCAAATCCATGTTAAAGACTTTTCTTTTTTCCTGTGCATACAACTAAAGAATTTTATCTTTTTAACACACCTTGTTATTTATTGTTGTAACTTTTTGTGTTTTTAACTATTTTATTGTTTTTAAATTACTTATGTGATTTTAATGCTTTTTAATTACATATGTGTTTTTAATTGTATTTTAATGGTGATGATTTGTGCATTGTGTGGTGTGGACTGTGAGGCGCTTTGTGTTGCCCTATGCAGGAAAAGCGCCCTATAAATAAAGATTGATTGATTGATTGATTGATAAATTGTCACAGGAAAGGTTTAATCACAGAGCCACCTTTCATGACATTGGTGTTTTTGTTGAAAAGCAAATCAAGCTTTGTTTGGATATATTCAGGACTCCCCAGGAACTGTAAGGAAAGAGTTGAAGTATGCTAAGTCGGGTACAAAAACCAAAGGAAGTTTTGCCACTACAATAGCATTTATAGAAAATGCATTGGATGTTTGCCCTTTGTTCGATAAGACACCAGAAGAAAAGTTGTCTTTTTTGAAGGAAAACAATTTGTGCTTTGATTATCTGTGCATTGGGCAAAGAAATAAAGATTGTAGAAAACGTCTGACATGCAGAGTAAGGCCCCGTCCCAATTCTCACCCTTGCCCTCAGGTGTAAGTGCCCTCACCAGAAAAGTGCCTTCCCAGTGGGGAGTGCACTCACAACATTCTCCCTAAGAATTGGGACACCCTGGATCTAGGGGACAATATGCGTCACACGCTTTATCAAAGTGTCTGATTTCACCACTGATATGATCTGACACAGGTATGACTTTATGAAATACAGTATTTATTAAAATGAGACGTTTTTGATTCTATTTCATATGAAGATTTGCTATAATTAGGTACAGAACTGCTGCACATCATGCACTCAGAGACAGTGCGGGTAGTGGCACAAATGGGGCCAGCCAAGGTGCTGTAGTGGCTGTACAGTCTGGTGGTTTAACTGGGGCCGGCAAGCAGGACTGTGCGTTGTTGATACTGCCTGTCTGAGTGATGTCCAAGTGAGGTCCAAGCAAGGACATGAGACTCTGGTAAAGTAAGCATTTTTAGACCCTGGAAGTGCTGCTACCTTTTGTACAGGTAAATGAATAGGCTTAATCTTGCGGGAATTAAACTGGGAATTTTTCTCCGAACAATGGGACAAGAGAAGGTGGTGGACAGTTACCCGTTGTCTGGCTTGGAAGTAGCTGGTCTGGACTCTGATACATTTTGTGATTTACCAGAGATCTATACTCAAGGGAAAATGCCTGTTCATAGAGGCAGCATTCCGAGCATGAAAGATCTTAGACAATGGCCGCACTTTAGACACTCAGAGGTATTCTAGAAATCAAAGCGAATGTAGATCTTTTAATTGGAAAAAAAGTATCTCAGGTGCTGGAGCCATGGGAGGTGGTGCGAGCCATGGATGGAGGTCCATATGCCATCAAGACCATTCTTGGTTGGACTGTTAATGGCCTCCTCAGAGATGGTGGTCAGACAAAGCATCTACAGTCTGATGTTGCCGTAAATCATATTTAAGTGGCGAGATTAGATGAGCTTTGGGAAAAACAGCTCAAGGTTGATTTTCCTTAAAGAGCGACTAAACACCTGTGCACAGCCTGACTCCACCCTTATTATTATTATTATTATTATTAAGAAAGGGGGCTTAGAATTGGGTGTGGACTACTAAAGTCCACACTGGGTCTCTAGTTTGTACACTAAAATAATTCTAGAGCTACACACATGAACCTAAGCCACTGAATTATTTCAGCAGTAGTTGCTATCAACTGCCAGCGCCAGTTCCTGCCGCTGAAAACCATCCCCACAGCATGATGCTACCACCACCATGCTTCACCGTAGGGATGGTATTGGCTTGGTGATGAGCAGTGCCTGGTTTCCTCCTTTTACAAAGGAGCGGCTTCCGTCTGGCCACTCTACCATACAGGCCTGATTTGTGGATTGCTTCAGAGATGGTTGTTCCTCTGGAAGGTTCTTCGCTCTCTACAGAGGAACGCTGGAGCTCTGACAAAGTGACCATCGGGTTCTTAGTCACCTCCCTGACTAAGGCCCTTCTCCCCTGATCGCTCAGTTTAGATGGCCGGCCAGCTCTAGGAAGAGTCTTGGTGGTTCCAAACTACTTCCATTTATGGATTATGGAGGCCACTGAGCTCATTGGGCCCTTCAAAGCAGCAGAAATTTGTCTGTACCCTTTCCCAGACTTGTGCCTCGAGACAATCCTGTTTTGGAGGTCTACAGACAATTCCTTTGACTTCATGCTTGGTTTGTGCTCTGACATACACTGTCAACTGTGGGACCTTATATATACAGGTGTGTGCCTTTCCAAATCAAGTCAAATTAACTGAATTTACCACAGGTGGACTCCAATTAAGCAGTAGAAACATCTCAAGGATGATCCGTGGAAACAGGATGCACCTGAACTCAATTTTGAGCTTCATGGCAAAGGCTGTGAAAACTTGTGTACATGTGATTTATTCATTTTTTATTTGTAATACATTTGGAAAAAGCTCCAAAAAAAACAGTTTTCACGTTGTCATCATGGGGTTTTATGTGTAGAATTTTAAGGGGAAAAAAATTTGAATCCATTTTGGAAAACGGCTGTAACATAACAAAATGTGAAAAAATTGAAGCGCTTTGAATACTTTCCGGATGCACTGTATGTGCAAACGGAGAAAATTTGCTATTGTCAAAAATTTCACTGATCAAAATGTGTTGAAATCAAAATTATGGTTAATGTGTTGAGATGATGTGGAGCGATTTTGAGGCGAATCGGTGAAACGGCCGAGGAGGAGTCGCTTTCCAACCGACATGTATGAAAAGGAACTTATGTCATGTTTCCATTTTGCAATGAATTTCATGGGCTTCCTTTTTGTCAGGGGGCGTGGCCATAATATTTTTTTTGTCTTGACTTGAGGAACATGTGCACTGAATTTTGTGGCTCTACAACAAACTTGACCTCGGACTTCTCCCATAGGCTTATAATTGACTTTTGTAGGGGGCACTGCTCTGGCTTTTTTTTTGTCCCATAGAAATATACACCAAAATAATAATTTTTTTGCCGGGTCTGATTTTTGGAAAAAAAATGGCAAGTTTTCATGCATGTTCAGGGGGTCAAATTAAGTGTCAATGAGCAGAATATAAAAGAAAGAAAGAAATTAAAGCCGCAAGCGGCGTTGAACGGCCCTCGCTGCACCGCGCAAAGGAGGTGGCGCCACCGCGCCATGATTTGCTCCCGTAGCCGTTGAACAATGTTTGTGAAATTATAATGAATATGATCAGTTGGTTTGGCTCCCCATGTAAAACTTTGGCTCAGTTTCTAGGAGGCGCTAAAAAGCCAATGTAATATTTCACATCATCAGGTGACCTAGGCCCAGGAGTTTTGAAGTAACAACCGGGTCAAGTTTAGTACAAGTCTGACTTTGTATTTGTAGACAGGAGCATATGTATAATCTGTGAGTGTGTCCATATACAGTATATACAGTCTCTTTTGGATGACCATGTGATTAATCAACAACTATTGATGTGTTGAGATGATGTGGAGCAATTTTCAGCCAAATCGGTTCAACGGGCGAGGCTGGTTTATATGGAAGACTATTGGCACCTTAATTCAATTGTCTATTAATTTGTCAAATGGCTATGCATTATGTTATTTTAGTATTTATTTTGTATTTGTATTTGTCAAAGTGTAATGTTATATCCAATTTTGACATTTAATGTTCTATTCCAAAAGTTCTAATCAATCAATCAATCAATCAATCTTTATTTATAGGGCGCTTTTCCTGCATAGGGCAACACAAAGCGCCTCACAGTCCACACCACACAATGCACAAATCATCACCATTAAAATACAATTAAAAACACATATGTAATTAAAAAGCATTAAAATCACATAAGTAATTTAAAAACATAAAAATCACACAAGTAATTAAAAACAATAAAATAGTTAAAAACACAAAAAGTTACAACAATAAATAACAAGGTGTGTTAAAAAGATAAAATTCTCT